GTGTACAGTGCTTAATTTGTACCAGGGCTTTCCAGGGTTGAGCCCTGGCACGTCTAGGCTTGGCAGTTCATAGCCCCAGCACTGTTGGGCTTGCCACGTCAGTTATGAATGTAACAATATCGCTTAAGGCCTGGCACTTCTCTCATTACAAATTAAGCACTGGGCGTGTATCAGAACTGGTTACAATTAAGTTACTTCCTATGGACAGAGCCCCATTTTCAAATGCTGATACGAGGGCCTCGATCAAAGAGGGCTAGATTAGTTTTTGCTCTTGAGTAGCCACGCCAGTCAGTGCACGGGGTGTTCCTGCCTCTTACCTTCCAGAGCAGACCAGCCCCTCAGCCCCGCCACTCCCCATTCCAAAAGTGTTATGGAGCCATCCAGGCCAAACAGTGGTCTAGATTTTCAAGAACGGCCTAGTGATTTTGGGTGCTCCACTGGAAATGCCTCAACAGGGCCTGGTTTTCAGAGGCTGGGTGCTCAGCCCTTTGAGCCTCTGCCCCCATTAAAGGCATTTGCAGTTGGGCACCCAAAAATCACTAGTCACCCTTGAAAAACGAGGCCTAAGTGGCAGCACACAGTATCTGAATACTTTATATAGCTCTGGTTCTTTGAGGTCTTCAAGGGCTTTATAAAAGGGTGGCTAAGTTCTCTCTACCACACAGCTGGGAAAAACGGAGGCACATGGAGAGGAAGTGACTTGACCAAGGTCACACAGCAAGCCAGTGGCAGAGGTGGGAACGGAATCCAACAGCCCTCTGCTGCAGCCCTATACCACATGGCCTCCTAGAGCTCAGAAAAGTCACACTTTACCGCAACTGAACATACAGAGATAAGCCAGCCAGCCAGGACTGCCTGTAAAACTGGTGCCAGACCGTGAGACACGCGGAATTCACTTAACAGGAGTAAAACTGACAGGGGCAATGGGCGTGGCCTGAACAAGTGACCCCACCCCATGTACTCACCAGAGCTCTTGCTGGGTGACTGGTTCTGCAGCTACCTAAACAATGGATTTTTGAGTTACTCAGCCAGCAGCTGAGATCAGAAGCCAGCCGTTCCCTGGGCTGAACTGCTCTCAGAGTTGTCCCTCGGGTAGGTCGAATCGGGGCGACTGCCCCAGGCCCTGCGCGTCGATAAAAACCGGGACTGTCCTGATATTTAGCCCTTTGTCCTGTGTCCCGACTGATGTACGATCAGGATGATATTTGTCCCGATAGTCAGGTGAGGAGGCGGGCGGGGTGAGGAGGCGAACGGGGAGGGGAGTGGCGGGCAGGAGGGGGGTGAGGAGGCTGGCGGGCGGACAGCGAGGAGGAGAACGGCGGGCAGGTGGACGGGGCGCCAGACGGAGAGGAGACTAGCAGGGAGGCTGATTTGTCCTGGGCCCCGCACCCCCCTTGGGACGGCCCGGCTAGGTCTAGTGTCAGGTGCTGTTCAGTCACCTACTCGTTAATAGCAGCAAGCAGCACAGGGCTTGGGGAAGGTGACATGTTTATAACCTAACCTAACAGCCCCATTTTCTCCCTTTTCTGACAGTGTAAATACCTAGATAGATTCTAATTCATACGGATAACCTGACCTGGACCCCTCACTATCTGCCCTGTTACTTTACGTCCCCCCCATCTACGCTACAAGTAGAACCAGGGTTTGACATCCAGCTCGTGTCACACATATCTGGTGAGTCGGGGCCACCAACCATTCTTGTAACAGCCACGTGTCATCCGGGCTTGTGACTCTGTATCTACACATTGCATGACCACGTTCACATGCGTTTAATGGGAGGAAAAAGGGGCAAGCCAGCCAGCTCAGAGTGGGTAGGTGATAGATTAGTCAGAGGATGTTCATACAGAGGGACATGAGCACAGTCTAGCGGAGAGAGGGAAGACAACTTTTCCAGCCGTGACAGTCTGGGCCGCCACTAGGGGAGACATATGGTTAGCTGCCAATGGAGTATTAACCGCACATGGGGTGGACACAGGTCTATCATTGTCTGAACTTTGAACAGAAACAACAACAACAAAAACAAAACACAGCACTACTCACTATCAAGGACTCTATTTTGGTTTTTGGCACAGAATTTCCAGGGTTGAGATTTCACTTTAAAAAAATAAAAAAAAAAACCTCGAATCAACGGTGAGTAGGGTTACAGTCAAGTCTGATTCCTTCCAGAGCAAATAAAAGATACAGTTAACGTTGCTTCAGAGCGCTCACCAAGAGCTTGGGGAAACACATGGCTTCTGTTCAGAGGGAGATCTGCTTCGGCTGCTCCCGGACTTCTCTTCTTTCTGCACTGTAAGGTCTGACCGTCACTGATTAGACACCGTTTTGCTCACCCCAATTTGAATTCACCTGGTTTCCCTGCCCCCAGAAGTAACAATACATCCATGTTCAACGGGCAGATTTAGAAACTATTTTGTTTTAAACCCCCCACAATATGTCTGTTAGAACAAACATCCGTGGAAGTGCTCTATTGATATATACAGTATGTGCATGGAGTAAGGTAAATATGCAGCCCACGTAACAATAAGAACCAACCTGGAGTTAACTGAGTGTCCATGAAGGAGTAACAGTGGTCTGTGTAGAACATTCTTCCTAAGAACCCTGCCAATAACCCTTGGTAACCCTTGTGGCTGACCATGCTTCTGCTGATCCTGGGACCTCCGCCTAGATCTGCCAAAGTACCTCAGTCCTGTGGCACCATCCTTCGCTTCTCCTGACACTGCCAGTCTTATGGGAATGATCATTAGCCTGGGGAACCATGCGGCAAAGAACCATTGATCTACTGAGAGCCACCTAGCACAGAAAGATGTGCAGCCCTCCACACGCCTGGGCGACTGACCTCCTAACTCTCCGGGCACTGAAAGACACGCTTGCGAGCATCAACGCTTTGCAAATGCGTCGCGGTAAAGACGAAGTGGAAGATAGCAGAGCTCATTCACAAAGCCTTAAACAACCGTAATACGCTAGGACCTCACGTTGCCACAACCGGTCACATGCTGCCTGGAGAATTGCAGGGTCGGGCTGTGGAGCATACGCAGATGGAATACATCCAAAGACTGCTGTCCACGTCCCTATTCTCTGACACGCGTCAAAGTTTTTGTTCCAGAGAGGCTTCCAAAGACCTGACCCCATAGACCTACCAGATCCCTGTGTAGAACATTCCTGCGGCTGTATTGCAACCAGATTGCTGTACCCAGCTCCTTTGTTCCTTATTAGTCATACACTTGGCAATGATGTTAACTATTTCTTTATAGAAATTAGAGAGGGACAGGGATCGTAACCACCACAAACAAGGGTATATTTAGCTGTGTTTCCAGCAGACATCAGATTTGTTGGTAGACCTTGCAAGCCCATTCATGTGCTGGGGAGGTTAACATGAAAACCCACCAAACACCGTGACTCCTGGGCTGCGCACCGAGGATGCCCAGGCTTTCACAGAAAGTCAGTGTGGCAGGAAGATGCTTGAATTGTTTCCTGAAGACGTCTCTTTAAAATCATGAGCTCATTTGTATGCCGGCGTAAGGCAAGTTCCAGTCGAAGCTCACTCACTGTGTGCCATGCCACCTCACCCCCATCTGAGACTGAGTCAATTGTTGCAGCAAGGTCTCCAGTTTCTAAGACACTGCTGCTTTTACAATCTGTAACTCACATGTCGCAACACGCTGGTAATATTGACACTTGTCAATCAGGGCCCGATTCTGACCCCCCGACTCAAGAGGAGTAGTGCATTACACCACAAAGGGTTCCCTTGAATTCGACGGGACTGCTGAGTTAGCTAGTGAAGAGGAGTCATCATCTGGCCCTACATGAACAGAATATATCGATAAAGCCTTTTATTAAACTTGACAAATAGTAAAAGGCAGGTCGCCCCCAGAGGGCGCCCCAGGCAGCCTGAAACAAGGTTCTCCTGTCCTCCTAAAGAAGAAGAGAACATCTCTTTAAACGCCCTTTGGTAAGAGGTTTGGATTTCAACACACCAAACAGGTTTTCCCCTCCAGCCTCATTCAGAGAAAGCTCAAAAAAAGGGGCAATTTGACACTTATCCCTTAAGTAGGTTTGTCTGTTCTGAGCTGTTGGGAAAAGCAAAGAAGCCCCAGCAGTCTGTCCTGCCATCCCCTTTTGGGATGTCAGTTTGAGGCGGGGTGGGGGGGAAACTAACCCAAACCGGGCTAGGTCTGCGCAGTGGGTAGAAAATACACTGCCATCGAAAAATGTTAAAGTAGCCTGAATGTTCCAAAAAAGGGCAGAGTGCAGAAAGAGATGGCTTGCCACACTAGACTGTGCCCATAACAGAGGTCAGACTTGCGGGTTCATTTCCTCCGTTTAGTACCTGGCTTGCCAGGTTGGGAGGTGAATACGCCCTAGTTCGTCCCTTAGTGTTGTGCACTGGAGGCAGCTGCATGTCCCAGGTGTAGTCTCTCCCCTGTGCACTGAGTACACGATGCAGGCTGTGATATTCCCCTCCCTTCGCTGTAGTCGGCTACCTGACTGCATTCCACCTTTGTCGTGAGCCCCTCAATCACGGGCTCAGCGCTCTGCATCTGTTCTCCTGGGCAGCGCCAACCACAGGTGGATTCCTAGGTCGTTCTGCACGTAGATGCATTTGACAGGGCATGAGTTGTTAAGTCCTAGGTCTCATGCCTCCAGCGGCACAGTTCTGAGCTTTGCTCACAGCAGGCGCCTTTTCTCTCGTTAACTGCATTTACTTTTTCAGAATCCTGCCCTGACTACGGAGGAAGCCAGTTGGCTTTTACAGCGGTCAAAGGCCACAGGAGCCCTCTGCCACCAGGTTACAGCAGAGTCGCTGGCACCTGCAGTGAAGAAGAGACCTGAGCAAGTGGCGAGGGATCTCATTTAGCCAGAGCAGGTGGGACGGTACCTAGCAAGCTGCCGTGGGTTTCTGCGAGAGGTCTCTGCTAGCTTCCCAAACCAGCTTGGCTTTCTTTGTTCTAGGGGAATAAGACAACTAAGTGGAGAGGTGGTTGGAGGAGGGAAGTGGGACAAACATTAATTTCCTTTTTAATCTGCAATATAAAGTTTTAAATACGCTCATTAAAATAATCGCTTTAAAAAAGAATACCCTTCCCCCGCCCCAGCATAAACCCGCTTTGCTGGGAGCTGGCCAGCGCCAAGTCTTTCCCTTAGTCCCCGGAGACGTGTTGTGGGCGTGTAAGATCCTGAGAGGTGAATGATACAAGCAAGTCTTCCTGGCCAGCTGTTGCCCTCCGCCACTGCTGTCGAAGTCCTGCTGTGATGTCCCCGGCTCGCTGGCCGCTCAGCATTTATTCCAGCCCCAGGATGTAGTTGATCCCTTGTACCAGTCCAATGATAACGGGTTGCCAGGCCACCAGGTAGCGTAGCCAGTCGAGCAGCTGCCCGTACATGACGTGGGGCCTTTCCCAGCTGTATGCGGAAAGAGTTAAAGCAGCAAAACGGGGAAGCAGAGAGAGAAACGTGGGGCTGGCTCGGAAGGCTGCGGGCAGGTGTCTTACCTAGCTGAAGCCTTCTGCATGCAGCCCTGTTATTTGCACCTCTGACTTGAGGATGGCAGAATTATAAGCTATGGCAGAAAGGTTAGAGGAAGTGGACCTATTGATACAGTATCAAGATGACAACCGGAGATAATAGCACACAAAGACGGGCCTTCCAAAGCAGGGATCATACAGCTGGGCTTTCATTTCCTTGGGCTACGGGCTCAGGATAGGCAGTGCCAGTGGGGGAGAAGGGCAATGCTGGGGTCTAGCATCACCCTTGGTAACCCTTCTTGTGTGTCCAGAACAGCAACCTTCTGATGGAGTCCCTGGCACTAGCCCCTTGCAATGGCATTCAGAATAGTGCAATCCATGTGCTGAGGCGTATCCCCACCCCAGAGCTCAGTGTTGGAATGGGAGCCTGGGGATGGAGGAAGGGTTGCTGGGCTGGAGAACGACAAGGAAAGTACTGGGGGGGGGGGGGGGGGGCCCCCCCCAAAAGCGGTATGCTATATGTCTCCACAGTGATGGGCTGGGTAGTATAGAATATCTTTAGGCCCTCTTTCAACCCAGCTTTGCAGCTACAACGGTCCTAGGAACAAGCAGTCAAAACCAGTCATTACAGCAAGCAGCCAATAGCCCACGTACATCCGACCTGCTGAGTAAGATGGGGCCACGTTTACCAAGTCAAGCCAGACATAAAATTCCCCCAACTCTTACCTGCCAGAATAAAAGCAAAGCACTAATGGGGGGGGGGGGGGGGGAAGAGAAGAGAAGTACTTGCCTCATCCCTCTGAGCAGCCTGCAGAGGGGGTGTGATAACAGGGCACACATTGAGTGAGGGGGTAGGATCTTTTAGAGGATGTCTGACAATTGGCCCTTCAACGTTACCTGAAGTGGGAGCTCACGTGTAAGATGTGAACGTTCATAGGAGGATACAATAACCTCTAATAACCCATCTTGAGGGGAAGAGGTACAAACGGGAGACAGACAGAATCAGTCCAAACAAAGAGGTCAAGAATGGTGCTGAAATGATGCTGGTTAAAAACCGGAGACATGGAGCTAGAAGTTAGTGAGCCAGACTTGGTGTACTGCGGGAGGGAGGGGGGGACGACCCACTTTTTGGCCCGAGGGGCACATCTGGGGATGGAAATTGTATGACGGGCCATGAATGCTCACAAAATTAGGGGCTGGCGTGCGGGAAGGGGTGAAGGCTCTGGCTGGGGGTGCAGGCTCTGGGGTGGGGCCAGAAATGAGGAGTTCAGGGTGCGGAGGAGGCTCTGGGCTGGGACTGAGGTTTCAGGGCTGGGGCAGGGGGTTGGATGTGGGAGGGAGTCGGGGTGCAGGCTCCAGATGGCGCTTACCTCAAGCAGCTCCCAGAAGCAGCAGCATGTCCCCCCTCTGGCTCCTACATGGAGGCATGTCCAGGTGGCTCTGCACGCTGCCCCATCTGCAGGCACCACCCCTGGAGCTCCCATTGGCCACAGTTCCCAGCCAATGGGAGCTGCGGAAGCGGCACTTGGGGTGGGGGCAGCGTGCAGAGCCCCCTGGCTACACGTACATGTAGGAGCCGGGGGGGGGAGAGAGGGGAGCGTGCCGCTGCTTCCGGGAGCTGTGTGGAGTCAAGGCACACGCCGAGCGGGGCAAGCCCCAGACCCTGCTCCCCTGTGGGAGCTCGAGGGCCGGATTAAAACATCTGAAGGGCCGGATGCGGCCCCTGGGCTGTAGTTTTCCCACCTCTGGTGTATTGGATAGTAAGCCTGATTGGTGGACAAAACAGCGAGGGGAGGGGCTATTCCAGCCACCACTCCCTGTTTGGGTCCGTGAGAGAACCGCTTGTGGGCAGACACAGATGGCAGTGGCTAGCGGAGTGAGCTTCACCATCATGGCTGCCACTTGCACCATTTCCTGGGAGCCCAGGCCTTCGTCATCCTGAGCAGACCAGAGAGAGGTGCCCAGATGACATCGTCACCCTACCAGCTCCAGCTGAATCCCAGCCAGCACCTGGACTGAAAGGACTTTAAACAGCAGCAGCAAGAGCTTCGATACCATCTAAGAGACTGTCACACAAGGGGGTTTTCCCATTAAAACTCCCTCCAGCCAACAGGAAAGGGCACGAGGGATGCTGTTAAAATAAAGGCCTGACTTAATACCTCACATTTCCACTGCTTTTATCCGTTTCTGTATCTTTAAGAAAAGGTTACAGGGATTTTTAACGGTGTGTTGGCCAGGGTACTAAACAGGCTGAGATCTCGGTATACCAAACCCCTTCCTTGTTTAAAACTGGGTTACTTTAACACCTGCAGCCCATTTAGTCCATCTACATTCATGCAATGGAAGAGAGGGGAGCCCAACCGTCCCGACCCCATCTCCAGCACAGGGCTGTCATGTTGATTGGTTAATAAGTTTGCAGATCACCTTCAAGGTGCAAGGCAAACAAAAGAGACGAAGTTGCTAGGATTTGGTCACAAGGCCAGAAAAGGATACGGGTTACTGAACATTCTCTTGAGATCCACCTTCTCTTTGCAGTATGGACACGTCTGTTTCTTCCCAACGATGCACCAGCCTCGGATGCAGAACTCGTGGAATCTGAAGGGTGACAAGTTAAGGGAAGCTGCGCTTGGGGGGGGGGGAAAAACAAACAAAAAAAAACCAGCAAAAGAGCAGGAACACTGGGATTAGAACTCAGCACACATGGGAAGTAATTCTGCAGGAATTTAGACTTGCTACTATGCACTGACCTCACTCCTGGGGCAGGCGTGCTCTACTGTTCACATCACCCTCCCCTAGGATATAACAGTGCCACCCGAGTAGCCAAGTCACCGGCAGAACCAAGAACATAAACCTGGCCAGTTAATCCATCAGATTTGGCGTATAGGACAGGTTTAACAGTGGAGTAGATAGTGGGACAGTCACTATGACTTGATAGTTACAGGTGGTGCAGGAAGACACATATAGTCAAGGCTGCCCCACAGTTTTCATTGTAAGACTGTTTTCAGTTGCTTATAACTACGCCAGACCTAAATCATCCGGGATGAAATTAAGGCTGAGCATGCATGGAACCGGCGATACGGACAGGCTGGAGGGCCAGGGGCAGAAGGGCCACTACAGAATGCTCCCCTCTCAAACCTAGAACTGAGCCCATTATTCCCAAATCTCCATATTCCTCTGCTGTCTGGCAAATAGCTGTGAAACCCATACTGTGTGGCCTGACATGAGAGGAACTTGTGAACTGCGCCAGGTTACCCGGATGCTCACAGCTCTGCGAAGGAACTGCCAACTACTATCCCCAGTGGGCCATGGAACCAGAGTGGAGTACAGACTGGCCCTCCTCAGGTGGCAGCAGCTCCCACCACCTGGTTTGGAAGGGGTGTAGTTAATGAGGCAGAGGACAGCCCTGAGTTGATTGTGTCTAGTTTGCATATCAATTCCAACTAGATATGCAAACTAGACACAATCAACTCAGGGCTAAATAGGGATTGGGAATGGCTGAGCCATTACAAACATTGAATCTATCTCCCCTTGTAAGTATTCTCACACTTGCTTCTTATCAAACTGTCTGTACTGGGCTATCTTGATTATCACTTCAAAAGTTTTTTTTTCTCTTACTTAATTGGCCTCTCAGAGTTGGTAAGACAACTCCCACCTGTTCATGCTCTCTGTATGTGTGTATATATATATCTCCTCAATATATTTCACTCTATATGCATCCGAAGAAGTGGGTTGTAGCCCACGAAAGCTTATGCTCTAATAAATTTGTTAGTCTCTAAGGTGCCACAAGTACTCCTGTTATTTTTAATGACAGATAAAATGTAATTAGTGATGTGGAAGTAGATGTTATGTAGCTCCAAATGAAGTCAAGTGCTGCTTGCTCCCTTGTAGTTTCTGCTTTTTGTTTTCACATTTCAACACCCATAAATGATGACTCAAATGTCCTGTTCAGTTTGAGCCTACGTACAGCAACCCACCAGGCCTCCGGGTAGCTGAAAACTCCCACTACCACCACCTTCTAATGACTGAGTTCTAGAATGCTGCTTCTTGCTTACCCATTGTTCACCACACTGCTTATGCATATCACACACTTTATAGAACAGATAACATCTGCAGTCCATGCCTAGAGAAACTTACAATTGAATTAAGACATGACACGGTGTGAGAACAAGCAGTACAAAGGGAGAAAGGGTAAAAGGAAGATGAGGATTCCAATAAGATTATGTGGCATTTGCAAGGCTTAAATTCAGTCAGAGCTGTCCGGGGCAGAGCCCTGGTGGGAGTTGCGTGACCCATCTACTCCCAGTTTCTATTCAGGCCTAATTTGATGGTGTCCAGTTTACAAATTAATTCCAGTTCTGCAGTTTCTTGTTGGAGTTTGTTTTTGAAGTTTTTTTTGTTGAAGAATGGCCACTTTTAAGTCTGTTATTGAGTGTGCAGGGAGATTGAAATGTTCTCAGAACCCAATACCTTATTTGCTAGTAGTATTAAAAAGCCTCCCCCAAACCTGTAGAGATCCCAGTCTTATTTTTAACTCTAACAAACTTACTTGTAAATCCTCAGAAAATTCAATCTACTCTCAGATCAAGTGCTGTAAGATTGAGGAGGATGCACTGTATTGATACAAAACATTGGATACAGCCTGCAAGCTTCAAGATGTTTTTATTTGTATTGTGGTAGCATCTCAGAGCCCTGGTCCTGGACCAGAACCCCGCAGTACTGGGCCATCCCAGCCTCAAAGATCTGACAATCTAGGCCAGTGACATTTTTATCTTTCAGAGTGGTAGCCGTGTCAGCCTGTATCAGCAAAAAGAACAGGAGTACTTGTGGCACCTTAGAGACTAACAAATTTATTTGGGCATAAGCTTTCGTGGGCTAAAACCCACTTCATCAGATGCATGCAGTGGAAAATACAGTAGGAAGATTGTGTGTATACACACCTCTACCTCATTATAACACCACCCCATATAACACAAATTCGGATATAACGAGATAAAGCAGCGCTCTGGGGGGGGGGGGGGGGGGGGGGGGGGGGGGGGG